CCAAGTATTACAAATGTAACAAGTGCAGTAGTGTAGCAGTAGTGTAATTAACTCTCGGGTTGACAAGAAAGTGAGAGGCACAGTGCTGTTTGCTTGATAACATGACCAGATGATGATCACTTGGTGTAAGTGCAGTGTGCAGGACAACAAAGATTTAGTGTAATGTAAGGCTAAGGCAAGATTAATGTCTTACAGTGTTTAGACAGACAGACAGTGTTTGTCACTGTAAGACTGATTGATGATGTTCAAAATGAACACATTCTATATCTATCCTGTTTTTATCAGAATATCAAGTAGACTATGAGACAGAAAGCAATTGCGTGTGGACCTGAAAGAAGAAACAAGTTTCCATACGTACATTTCAATCTTAGTTTAACAGAATTTTTGAAAAGAAATAAAAACAATGACATTCAAAGATTAGTTGTTAAATCTATTAAATTTATACAATCTGTTAAATTTATACAATATTTTTTCCACTGTTTATTCTAAACATACTAACATATTAATGTTCTAGAGTGAACCCTGACATCTGTGTGACCTCCTCAGTTGTGCTGACATCAGGTTTTTCTGTATATTTTCCCTAGCTTAACAGATGCATGAAAAGAAATTCAAGGAGGAAACACACACTTAAATTGCATAAAACATTACATTTGCATATTGCATTAAAAAAAAAAAACCCAAACATTACGCAAACACAAATGCATACTGAGCAGGTAGGGTTAAACGGTCTTGTAAAATTTTGAGACTCCCTGAGAAAGAGGGATGGATAGCACTGAGAACAAAGTCTATAATTCAGCTTCTGTTTTGTGTTATTACTGTTCTACACGTCTCTTTCAGTATTCTGGGAAAATCATTACATCTGCTGTTTGTAATATTTCTGACTGTGCATGAAAGACATTCTCTGTCTTTACAGGTAGGTTCCAGTGTCAGCCTTCTGTTAGATTGCTTCTTATCAGGCCAGTGCTCTGTATTAAACACTAAAAAAATAAAAATTAAAATCCCACTCAAAACTTCATGCCACTGATCTCCCCAGAAGAAGTTTTTAAGAGGATACTGGATTTAGCATTGAATAACTTCATTTATAGTGGTACTGAAGAAGTTCAAAGTTCTTTTGCTGAGTGAAAGCTCTTCAGACACTTTTTGTCTGAGAGAGCCGTAAGCTCTCCATTAGCATTTAATCTATGGGCATTGAATATCGGAGGACAAGAATCAACCCAGTTTATAAAAAAAAAGCTGTTGCTACTAGTGAAATTACTGTTTGTACTAGTGAAATTATTTCCTACCAAATAGTTCTCTATCATATTAGTCTGCAGAACTTGCCTTCTAATAAGGCTAGGTTATCTCTGTTTTATATACATATATATATATAATTATATATATATATATATATATTTTAAGTAATTTTATTTGTTGCCAGCAGCCTTTGTCAAATTTCTCGAAATATTCATTCAATAAGTTTCATGGCCCTTTATAATATGCTGCTGCCTTCTGGGGAAAAGAGTATATTCCATTGCATAGTTAGGTTCTAATACGTATGTGCTCATGTACTTTGTCTTCTCTTGTGATAAGGCATTAACAATGAAGCATTTTCACTGATAAAAAATAAAGATAAGAAGTCATGGAAGTAGGAAACAACTACAGGGTGGGGGCTATTATGAAAATTTCTTGATAAATTCCGTATCTCTAGCATTTTGAGGCTACAGTAAAATCTCACAAAATCTTAATGTTTTATGGCACTTTGACATTTTGTTGCCAATGTCATCTTTTTCTTGTATATTCTGAAAAGTAAAACCCTTTGCAACAGCTATAAGGGTTTTCATGCTAACTGTAATACAGAGCAATAAGATGCTTGTTTCCAACACTGGTAGTAAATAAATTTCAAATGGCACGCATTCCAACTATAATGTATTTGCAATCTTTCTAAGGTCACTGCTCTTTCTCAGGCCTAACATTAATTTGAAAGTTACTTGTTTTATTAAAATTATTACTTTTGTGGGATTTTTTTTTTCTTCCTTGTGCAGCTGTGCTCTGAATAATCCCTATCAGCATTAATATTGTGTAAGATAGTCCATTCACTGGTGCCGAGCACAAGATGTTCAACATCTTGGGCACAGACTGTAACAATTTGGGTGCCAACCCCATCTGGCAGACTCTTTCAAAAGAAAAAAATTACAGGGCAGCCTGTGAAGAAGCTGATGCTGTTGCATGCTCTGAGAATTTGTACTGCGATAGGAGACTGAAGAAAAGAGAAACTTGAGCAAAGTCCCTGGACTACACTTTCACAAGACTTACAGCTGTTTCGGTGAAAAATGAGGTGACTGATAGTCTTAAACTTCTGCATGCATAAAACACAGAGCTGTGTGCATGTATTTTTATATAAAGAACTTAAAAATATTTTACAGGATTATATCCCTATCCTTCCACACCATGTGTAAACTAATTGCAATGTGAGGAAACAGAACATGCCTGTTGAAATGCTAGTGTCTTCTTTTTAACTGTATCAGTCTCCTTGCACCACATTCTTTATGTGTGGCCACCAACAACAACCTGAGATATGACTAAGATAAAGTGCGATGCAGTTTTTAACCCAGTGATTTAAGACACAGGATTGGAAAAAGAATTTAATTAGATACATTGAAAATAACATGGTATTAATTCCTTGACTTCCATCAATAAGATTATTTAAAAATATATTCAGTTGTACTCAGTTATGTGGACTATGCATAGGTGATAGCTTTTAAGCTCTTTGACTTCATTCTCATTTCAGTGCATTTACAAAGTGCATGGCTATGTAAAACCATCATAAGTAAGGAAAGTGCAAAGAACTTCAGACTGTGCTGTTATTGAAAACAGTACCGGTATAAACAATTTATGGCACTGCTAAAAGCATGTTACTATTTCAAACCTGAATGTTAACAGTAGCTCCCTGAGTTGCTAATTCTACTCTGAAATTACTTGGACTTCTCAGCATTCTACTTTTTGTGGACGAATAGACACTGGCATCAAGTTCCTCATTGTTTTTTATGCCATTTTTACATATTTTATCCAGTTTTAAAATGAAATAGATTTTTTTTTTATTTTCCAATATCTAAACATCTGTTTTTTCATATATGCAACTATGATTTTTGTTAGAAATTTTTAGTTCTGCTCCATGTGTCTCTTTGCTTCACAAAGCAAAAATATAAATGCATATATGTATACTATGGATAGTATATTCAACCTGCCACATTGCCTGATTATGTATAAATATTCAAGGATCAGCTATAAACATTTGCTGCCAGAGCAGAATTTCTTTTTTAAAAGAACATTATTCTTTTTCTGCATATAACATAATCAGGAAATGGTGGATGACGTTCATTTTTTCAGTTACTTGTTTACTAGGTCCCTTCACCTATAAAACTTGATCGGTACAGAAATTTGCTTATTATCATTTATGTTAAAAGGCTTCTCAATTACCTGACAGTTACATGTCAATTTAATTTGTTCCCCTTGATAAAATTTCTTTAAAAAATGATAACTTCACAGACTACTTACAGATATGAAGAGATCATAGTGTGTCTCTTTACCTATCTTTAACTTTCTGTCCCTACAGAAGGCAGTATTAGGAATAAGGTTCAAAGGGCTAGTAAGCAAGCCTACTCATTTACTCATGTAGATATGCACTGAAATGCATGGCTGCTTTCACGCTATGCACAGAATCATAGAATCACAAGGTTGGAAAGGACCTATAAGATCATCTAGTCCAATCGTTCTCCCACCACCATTGCTACCACAAGCTACTAACCCATATCTTTAGTGCCTCATCCAGACGCCTCTTGAACACTGCCAGGGAAGATGACTCCACCACCTCCCTGGGCAGCCATTCCAGTGCCTGACCACTATCTGAGAGAAAAAGTTTTTCCTTATGTTTAGTCTAAATCTCCCATGGCACAGCTTGCGACCATTTCCTCAGGTCCTGTTTGTTGCTGAGAGAATAGGCCAAACCCTTCCTCATCACAACCTCCTTTCAGGAAGTTGTAGAGTGCAATGAGGTCTGCCCTGAGCCTCCTCTTCTCCAGACTAAATAATCCCAGCTCTCTCAGCCACTCCTCATAAGACTTGTGCTCCAGACCCCCACTAGTTTTGTTGCCCTTCTCTGGACACGTTCCAGGACCTCAATGTCTTTCTTGTAGTAAGGGGCCCAAATGTTTGATGTTTCCAGGACTACATTTAGGATTCAAAGTTAGAATTTGTTGGCTGACAAAAGAAAGTGGGTATCTGTGTTTCAATAACCTGCAGCATCTCTGTAAAAACAATTTCATTTCTGCCTGGCAAAGTGAAGTTCGAGTTAATTAGTTTATTAATTTCATTTATACTGCCAGCATCTTTTTCAGGGTGATGGCAGTGTTCTCTGATCTCAACAATGTAATATTTTTTATGCAGAAACGAATTCTTAGCTTCCTTATTGCTGCTGCCAGTATGCGTAAATAAAAATAATATATTACTGCTCTAGTATGTATTCAGCTGATCTATGATTCTTATATTATGTTCCCCCTTGAACTTCACAACTTGTTCACTCAGGTATAATAAATGATGTCAGATGTTACACTTTGCTTAAAGATAGCGGCAATAAAAATCATCTCAAAAGCTGAGAAGTTACTCAGCTTTCAGACTTTGAAATATCTGCTTAGTTTGATATTTCTATGCACAGCTCTATATATTGCTTGTAAATTAATATTAAAGTATCAAATATCCCAGGATTGATTTACTGATATAAATCAAAGTGTGACCCTTATCAGTCATAATGCTGTGTGTTTGTTGTTTTTTTTTTTAATTATAGATTGGTTGATCTTTCTAATTAAGAGCCAGAGGACAGTTTGCTACACTAATGCTTAGTCCCTAGAATAACAGTAGGACAGCAGAATAGAAGATCAGAAATTCTCCACACTAGGTGAATCTTCTCACTTCAGAAACAGACCTTCTTCAGGTGTTCAATGGTAAGACCTTACCGAGAATAGGCTATGTGGAACTTCATATGGCCTTGTAGAGGGGTTCCAGAGTGTGTGTTCCTTTTTTTCAGGGATTTTTTTTTTTTTTTTTTTTCCCAGAGGAAAAAGGTTCAGACAAAAGGCCACAGAATTTTACTTCTACTATATTTAATAATTAAGACATTGAGGGAAACAGCAAACTGATATGACACTTGTCAATAGCATAATATTGAAAAAGGTATGGGTTATTGGATTGAGGATGCATAAGTGAAATTTCTTTTTAAGCCCTTTATTCTTCTGTGCAAGGTCTTTTTATCAACCTATTCAGTAATTGCACTCTAGAGAATAAAATTACTTTGTACTTATTTCGTTTTTCACATAGCAAAAACTTAAACAGAGATAAAAACATAAAACAGTTTCCCAATCAGACCAGGAGGACATGGGATGTTTTGCATACTTTTGGACTACAGCAGAGGAAGAGTACCCTCAAGATGTCATTTAAGGGGCAACCCTAGAAAATGATGTGTGTTACAACCTCACATTTTCTTCAGGATGCTTTGTGCTGCTGAGTTACTGCAAAGAGACAGGAAAACTATATCTGAGAAATCCTATCCTGAGAAGTGAGACACTGAAAACAGAGAACAACATATAAATATAGACTGAAGCCAATCCTCTGCTACGACCTGTGTGTGAGACTGTTCTCCAAGTGCAACTGGGCGTAGTTGGCTTTTGAATGCCTTGAAAGTCCAAAATTTCAGCTGGGGACATCCAACAGATGTTATATACAGTTCTGAACAAGAAAATAGTGTACTTATTGAATAGTAAGCATGAGCCATCTGAATTGAAGGTTACCCTCACTTAAGTGAGGGACAGCATTGTTATTTTATTTATTTATTGCCACAAGACTGTACATCTTTTCCGTCAAGATATTCCAGGTCTAGAAATGGCTTCACGCGTGGGATTCACTGTAGTTTAATCACACACACCATAAACTACTCCCCAGTGAGTTAGATCTGATTCCTCAGCTGAATTTCTAATCTCTAACCACACACACTTTGGGAAATTGGATGAGAATTATCTCATGACATAGGAATTTACTGCTATTTTGTCTTCAGCAGCTTTCCTTTCATGTGGTGAGAGAAGGCAATGTTACCAAGGGCTAACACAACAAATGCTTCCTTCTAAGATCATCCAAAATCATTTTGATTTTTTTTTCTAGTGGACAATGGGTAAAAATCTGTAACTGTAGAATAAACAAGGAAATAAAAATTATTTTTAAATGTTTGCCATTTATATCACTTGTTTATCCAGTTCATAATACTCTCTGCATTTTACTGCATCATGAATCCCTCATTCATACAATTACTGTTTTTCCTTTAAACATTTTTCTTCCTTGTGGTGTTGCTGTGTTCTTTTCTCTAAGAAATGGCTGTTATCACTGTTAGATAATAGAAAAACAGGCAATGTTTGTTTTGCTTTTGATCACAGTTGCTATTGCATCCTATTACTCTTTTTCTTTTTCCAAGCAGTGAACACCACATGGGTTTCATTTTCTAATCCAGAAAAAAGATGCTGCAACCAAATTAGCTTGGATTGGAAACACTGAGATTTCCTTTTTCATCACTGTCTCCACACATAGCAACGACAGATACTTCACAAAACATTGAGAACAGATTTATTTACATGACTGTAATTAGTCTTATCCATGCAATTACGGAAACAGAACTACACTCTCAAAGCTTAAATATACGCTTTCTACTTAATACTGATCCACTTGAAATCCCTCCCATCTTATTTGTACATATTTCCAAGTGTGATATGAACTGTTTATATCAACCACTTTAGTAGTTCTTCAAAAGCCGTGAATTACTTAATTATAAACAAACTGGCACACTTAATGGGTCCTACAAATAACATATCTCAGGTATGTGAATGATATCCAGCTATTAGCAGTGATGCAGTTCACTCAATGATGCCAAACACTAGAACCCTTTTAGTACCAAAAGGCACGTCTGTGTGCTTAGAAAAGAAAATAACGTACCTTCAGTATATAAAAAAAGCACACGTGCACTGTGTTCAGATAAACTGATGTGGTCACTTAAGTGTAAGCAACTAACTCTGAACTTACATTAAAAGAGAAAGATCTCACATGATACTTATGTTCTTATAGAATAAACAAGATGCATACTTACTGAAACAATGTCTTGTCACTCATCATCTCAATCAAAAATGAGCAGCTGTAGTTTTGTTTCCCTGTAAAATAAAGAAATATACAGAAACTAAGTACATGAAGTAACTTAATCCTATTTAGCAAACTGACAAACAATCTGTTTATCAACTTATCTAGACTGTTTTATATGGCCATTTAAACATTCTCTCTATGAGAATTAGAACTTACGGTTTTGCAGAAGGCTTCATGGAGATAAATATATCCAACGTCCACTTTTTTTTCAGCTTTGCTATCAAGCAAAGCCTTATGAGTGGTAGAATTCAGAAGCTTCAAAGAACACTCCTGACTTTCATACTTACTACCAAAGACTAAAATATAGTGCCGTATACAGGGTCACTACAAATACCAAGCAGAAGCATGTTGACATCATTCAGCTATGAAAAAAATACTGAAGGGAGATATGGTACAACAATTCATGCATTTCTTCAATATTTTGGGACTAACTTCATTTTTCAAAGATTTGATGCTGTGCCTCCCCTTAGCTCAGTGGTTAAAACCTTTACAAAGAAGAAATCTGGGCTGTTTCTGAGGAGCATTTAAAATCACTTAAACTTTTTCTCCAGCAAAGATATTAAAGTTTAACTAAACCACTTGGAAGGCAGATAAAGAGGCAAATACAGATATGCTCTCAAAATCAATCTCACAATCAGTTGACTTCATCTGTAATTGATTATGTATTTACAAAGGAATAAAGACCAACAGCGCTCTTCTGCACAGTGTACCACACAACCACATACCGTGCAAAGTTCCCCATCTAGAAGACATCACTTGATGATATGGAACGATGTGCAACAGAAAATGCCTTGAAAATTTTCTTTCATGGTACCCCTGCTAAAACAAACCCCAAGCTGGAACAGTCTACCAGGGTGTCCACCCATTAAAATACCTGTTAAACTGCAATTTCCTTTCACAAATGGAAGTCCCAGAAATAATACAAACTGTTTACAGCTGCCTTGCATCCTGAACATACTTTGCTGAGCTAAAAAATTCCACTACAGTTGCAGAAGTTTTACACCACTATTAACTTTTCTTGTATTTTCTGTCTTGAGAGAGCTAAATAGGTGACAGAGCAGATGTTTTCTACCTTTAATTTCTCTATTTGTATATATCACTAGATACATTAATATAAAGAAAGCTATGGGTTAGGTCTACCTTGAATATTTTTGCCCTATAACAGCATTATAGGTCTAATGTTTCTCTCTGCAAAAGTGACTACAGAGAAGAGTTTTCTAAATTGTCCAAATCTAAGTTTCAGTGACAAAGTGACTCAAGAGCCCACGGGTTCTGATATGTAGAGGTCTGTCCAATTTTTTAACCTGATTAAAACACATTTAGCATTTTCTCCACTCAGAATAGGTACAGAAATTTCACCCTGTCTCAGCATCTTTAAAAGTCAAGTTCATTATTGGGCTCGGAGATTTCCTGCCAAAGCCGGATGTGAGACATGTACATTCATCCTTATTCTCACCTGTTTCCAGTTCAGAAAATTTCAAGGTTTCTGGCAGATGAGAACGTTGACCTGTCCTAGAGCTTCGCTATCAGTTATCAAACTAATAGTTCACACAGTTACCTGCACTTCATTTTTCGTTTGCTCAGGTTTTGAGCTAGAGTTTCAGAGCACTGATTTATTTCTTTGTTACAGTTCAGATACTGCTGTTTATTAATGAAGTCCATATGAACAATAGCTGTTCTCCTTGGCTTTCTTAAATCACAGATGTGACATCTCTTACTTTTATGCTAAGAATGGAAATATTTTACTTTAAATGTAGTAACACTATGCACTACTAAACAACATTTTCTTTTATTATCTTATTTGAAGCTCTAGGTTTAGTCATGTCATATAGGTGTACAATGTGAAACAATCCTTTATTTAAAAAATAAAAATAAAAATAAAAATAGTTCTCCAGTCCTCTTCCACTTTGCTTTGATTCCATGTTGCTTTTGCCTAAACTATTTCACAGGAAGATTTATTCTGCTACTCATGAACTGTGTTGTTCTCTGTCATCTCAGGGGATTCAGCTGAACCGTAAGAACTGTTACACCAACAGAATTACCTATAAATAAGGGAGCCTGTATGTCAAAGGAAGCGCAAATTATCTCAGTAATGCTGAAGAGATACAGCACTGGTATGACCCTACTGAAAAAGTTTTGTGTTTTCTTCGCTTAAATAAAACCTGGAATGAGTTGAAGAGTAGCCAGACCTCCCACTTTCTACCATCAACAATTAGGGAACCGTTGACAAATTTTTTTTAAAATTTAGGCACTTCTAATATAAAGCAAATCCCCTAAATAATTAACAAATTTATTAAAAGATACCTATAAATATTTCACCATCGAATCATCTCTACCTTCTCTGCCTACATGAAAAGAAATGTTTGCTGCTTTGTATCATCAGCACTGCCATCAGCATGTGTGCCACACAGCTTTAAATCACTGGGATTGCAACAGGAAATCATTCATGGAAATAATGACCTTCCCATAATTCGTTTCTATGTGTATTGAGGAAGAAATCCTTTCAGGCACAAAAGCAACCTGCAAGAAAAGTGTTTGAGAAAAGGTGTAGATTTAAACAAGAATCAAGATTCAGTTCACTATCTATGCCTAGTTCCAAATTCAGGGATTCAAGGTTATGACAAGATCTGTATTGTAGGTAATACTGATCATCTTATGTCTCCACTTAGATTCAGTGCATTGCACAGTACCAGAATCTCCATCAATTATGCCAAAGACTATTCAGAGGAATATTTAAAATGGGTGCCATTTCCCTTTTACATATTTTGATATAAGCCAAAATGCATTTTGCAGAAGATCTTGCATAGTATTAATCTCTAACACAAAGTTTTCACTGAGAGCTTTTTTGAATTGTTATAAAATTGTACATCTACCATAATAATACACAGCTTCATTTACTACAAAAGAAAAATATCATATGATTGTAATCATCGCTGAACAGTTCAACTAAAATTTAGGCAACCAAAAATGTTATTGTTTTTTAATGAGCAAACAAGATGCAGATCCGACACTTCAAAAATCTTCTAGAGCTTGATATCTGGCACATACAGCTGCCAAGTCTGTTTTCTAAGGAGCAATACCAACAGAGAAAGCAGTTGAAAGAGAGTCCTGTTTACATTTTTCACCATAATAAAAGATAAGTACTTCAAATGTTCTATTTAGACATCTGTATTTGAGGCTGCAGTGCTACCTGAGTAGCTATTTTTTTAACCTTAAGTAATGTCCTAAAAATACCAGCTATTTTCTGTTCATGTGTGCACAAGGTAAGAACTTAGAATGCATGTTAAAAATTTACAAGGCAATATAACAGTTGTTAGCTCCTCTGACAATACAGAGACCAAAATATTATTGAACAGCTAGAGATATCAAGTACCAAGGCAGTGGATTATAACTCCACTAGTCATCTAAGATTTTTCTAAAGGGACTACGATTTTATCGTCACTGGCAATTCTGGAATGAAATGGATCTTTAGTGTCAAGCAGCTTTCTCATCTCTTTCCTATCTCCACACTATTTCAAGTGATGACAATCATCAAGCGATGACCAAGACACAGATTTAGTTTTTAAATCTGTGGACAATGAAGTTCAAACTATAAAATTCATAAAAATCAAACCTCAAGCCTCCTCAAAACTGCTTATACATACGTGCATTTATTAAATAAAAGACCTTCATTAGCTGTAATAATTTTAAAAAAACTAGATGTCTCCTGCTTTTGGACCCAATTCCTTCATTATTATGACAACTGAATTGAAAAATATCACTATAAACACTACGATGCTGGTAAAGAGCCAATAAAAAGGTGCAATCAGTACCTTGAAACAGTACAAAAAAGGACAAGTATGTCTGATGAAAGGTGGTGCTATGCATAGCCCACGATACATAATTTGAGTTTTCCAATGTAATGTTGTAAGCGTTTTCTTTGCACTTATTATCTACATGAAATCTCAAATTACTTATGTCATTCATAGATTTCAAGTTTTACACTGAAGGCATATGGGAATACTTTCTATCCTCTCATCAGGTAAGTTCTGAGAACCTGACCATAAGTTGGATACTTGGGCAACTTCATAAGGAACCTCATTCATGTAAAAATGGGTATCTTGCATTGCATGATTTTGTACGGTGGATTGATGATTTATGAAAAAAACACAATTCTTCTTGACAATAAAGGTGATAGCACCTTAGTCAACATTTATACAAATCTTCTTCCATCAGATCAAAAGTGCACACAGAAAAAAGGGTTACCAGTCCACTCAATTTGTGTGGAAATGTCCTCAGAGTTCACAGAAGCTTTTGATGGTGGAAGTTCACATTTTATCATGCTGAGAGTGTTTGAGATTTTATTTGATATTTTATTTTTATGAAATTTTTATTTGAGATTTTATTTTATATTAAATATTTGATCGTATGAGACATACTATGTTTAAAGTACTTCACTGAGAGTGTTAGAAAAAGCTTTTCATCCAGAAATCATTTATGACTGTCCATTTATGACTTAGGTTCTTCTAGAATTCCTTAAACTTAGCATACTTTCTCAGTAATTTATTTCCTTTTGTTTTTCTGTTGAAGAGATGGCATGACCCTAAAAAAAAGAAAAATTCTCAGGAATGTCAGGCTATTCCACTCACGAAAAACACTATTCATTCCCTAGTCTTACTCAGATGACAGTTTACTTACTAAATAGGTTTTTTTTTCTCTGTTACTGTGTACAGAAAAGATTTGGAGTTTTACTTCTTCATAAACAGGACATTCAAAAGAAATAGTGTAGATTTGATGACTACAGGTTCTACCTTTTGGCAATGTCATTTTTTCTAGGTTGATCCAGAAGCAGGTGAAGTGCACAGGTTCTCTAACAGATTGAAAGCTAAGGATTGGTTCTGGTTCTCCACTCAGAACTGTGCAATGGACCAGATCTCTAGATCTCCTCTGCACCTTGTTTCTGTAGCCTAGTATCAGTCATACAAGTCATTTTAGACTGTATGCTTGTATTCCTGAGCAAAGATGAAGAATT